CAGTTGAATTTAGCATTTAAGGAGTACTTGTCACCAAGGAGCCATAGCTTCTGGCTTTATTGAGAAGTCTGTTGCTAAGACACAGTTTTAATTTGTTTGCACACTTTTCATAAGAATGGTGAGTGTTTATTCACAGAGAGAAACTGAGATGTAAGAGTCAAAAGTTGGTGGAAAATTAATGATTGTAGAGGATTAAACCGCAAACAATTATTTTATTTATTCCTTTCGACTAGAGGCTTTCAAAGTAAGGTCCTGGGACCGGGGCATCAGCATCACCTGGAAACTTGATAGAAATGCAAATTCTTGGGCTCTACCCAGACGTATTTGAATCACAGAATTGCCAGCGTGTGGCTCAGCAGTCTGGTTTAACAAGACCTCCAGGTTATTCTGATGTATATTAATATTTCAGACCCATCCTGGGCAATATAGGAAGATCCTGTCTCTACAAAAATATTTTAAAAATTAGTCAGGTATGGTGTCACTGGCCTGTAGTCCTAGCTACTTGGGAGGCTGAGGCAGGAGGATAACTTGAGTCCAGGATTTCGAAGGTTGCAGTAGGCCATGATTGCACCACTGCACTCTCAGCCTGGATGGAAGAGTGAGACTATGTCTCAAAAAAAAAAAAAAAAAAAAAAAAAAAAGAGATAGAGAGAGAGAGACCCAGTCCTCTAAACTCTAGAATAGGACATCATGCAGGCCTCCACATATCAATAGCACTAGCAACTGAGGAGACTAGCTTTCCCCTGCTGGAAAATTCTGTAAAAACATCACTTGGAACAGATGCCTCTAGAGAGGGAGCCCATTTTTTTCAAGATCCACAACAACTACCTCATGTTGCCTCCTGATCTCCTAACTAGAATCAAGTATCAGCATGATCCTAGAAGATAAGTACATGCTGTTACCCAAAAAGAAATAGCTTGCACACAAAAGAATTACAAGATTTGATAATATATGTCATTAGAAACCTGGGCAACATGTGTAGGAGTATTCTAATAAGGGCAGAAATTCACTAGATTTGTCTGACTTCATGCAATCTAGAGATTCTAAATTTAATTTGTTAGCTTGAGCAGCCGGAAATGGATCTAATAGCTTAATTGGTTGGTTGAATGAATGTTGTGCTCAACAATAGTCTATGTTTAGTAAGGTCAAGATTCCAGAGCTTTGCTGGCATAATGTAGGGGAGAGTATGCAAAGTCTCTAGGAGATAGAAATGTATACTGAGTTTATCCTGTCTGTGAGAGGGCTCAGAAGACACTCCCTCCATGAAGCAATGAGGAATACATTAGTGTCTTCATCCTTGACAAACTCTGCAGTTGTTCTCCTTTGAAAGCCAGGTTTGTAGGGAATGCCACCATTTAGATTTTTTTTTTTTTTTTTTTTTTTTTGAGACAGAGTTTTGCTTTTTTTACCCAGGCTGGAGTGCAATGGCACGATCTCAGCTCACTGCAACCTCTACCTCCCAGGTTCAAGTGATTCTCCTGCCTCAGCCTCCTGAGTAGCTGGGATTACAGGCACTTGCCACCACGCCTGGCCAATTTTTTGTATTTTTAGTAGAGACGGGTTTTCACCATGTTGGCCAGACTGGTCTCAAAATCCTGGCCTCAGGTGATCCACGTGGCTCGGCTTCCCAAAGTGCTGGGATTTACAGGAGTGAGCCACTGTGCCCGGCGAGATGGGGGTCTTTGATTTCATGGAGATTATGCAATCCCAGAGTACAGAGGCCAAGTGGTAACACTTAACCACCAAAGACAGGAGGGACACATCAACCATCGTATCTCTTTTTATCCCAGATAATTCTTCTTGTTCTGATGTCTATTTTATCTGATAATTAATATAGCTACTCTAGCATTCTTTTGTTTTGTATTTGCATAGTATATTTTACATCCTTTTACTTTCAACCTATCTGTGTCTTAAAATGAACTTTGTGTGGGCAGAATATATTTGATCTTTCTTATTTATCCAATCTGATACTCTGTACCTTTTAATTAGTGTGTTTTGACCATTTACAATAAGTAAGATTATTGATATGTTTGGGTTGAAATCTACCATTTTGCTGTTTTCTGTTTTTTCATGTGTTCTTAGAGGTTCCTATCTTTTCTGCTTTCTCTTTTATTCATTGAGCATTTTTATGATCCCAATATACATCCACATTTGAATTATTATTTATGCCCCTTAAAAGTAATTTAGTGTTTGCCCTATTGTTTACAGTATCTATCTTTAATTAATTAGAGTTTACCTTGAGATAACATACCACTTCATCTCTACTACAAGGACTTTATAACAGTATATGACCATTTATTTTTCTCACGTTTTATAATATGATTGTGATACATTTACTTTTATATATGCTATAAACATGCACTGTATTGCTACTTTTTTTTTAGACTGTCAGTTGTGTTTTAGAGAAATTAAGGTCAAGAAAAAAAGAAAAATATTTTCTTTTACTGTCATGTGTTTCATTTCCATTCTTTTAATGTTTTGATTCAAAGAGACTACGATTTTTTGAGACCAAAATGATCTTTGGACCCCAAACTTCTACATCAGGAATTGGAGCAGTTAGCAGTTTTGCCTTCAAGTGGGTCATATTGTCCAATGCCCTTTTCATGCATGGCCAAGAAAGATACAGGAAAAATAAGTACCTCCCAAGGAAAGAGTAAATATTTGTAGAAAAAATAATACTCTACAGCTACTGACAGGGAGCAGAACCAGGGTCTAATCAACCAACTAGCCCTACCCAAAGGATGCAGGCATTTCACAATGCCTGGATGACAGCATTACAGAATTGTTATGAACCAGTGACTGCTATACCCATCTTATTCATCACCTTTGAAACATGAGTGTTACTGGGGATATTGTTTCCTCATTCAACCATTGTAGGTAGATGAACAGAAAACAGATGACTTGCCTTTTTGTTCACGGATAAGGAGAAGGCATGCACAGGATATAGAAACTATAACGGAATTTGGGCTGAGACTGATACTGTGATGGAATGGGCTCTTTAGGGGTATCTTCCTTGGGGAATAGGTAAATATATTTTGTATGTGGAAGGGAGGGAAACAAATATTTAGACTAGGAGAAGAGATTATTCTAATGCTTAGCTTTTGTTGTATAACAAACCACAGCAAAACTTAGTGGCTTAAACAAAAGCTATGCATCATGATTCCTCTGCTCTGAGCCATGTTGGATAGGACTAGATAGTCTAAGATAAATTCATTCACATACCTGGCGGTTGGCTTGACATGTCAGCTGGGTCAATCGGGATGACTTTGCAGAGATTCTCATCATCCAGCAGCCCAGCGTATGTTTACTCACATGACTGTTGATGCAAGGTTCCTGGGAACAGCAAGATAGCAAACCCCTTACTATGCCTCAGCTTGCATCGTATTTGCTCACTGTTATTGACCAAAAGATGCTACATGGCTGTATTAGTCTGTTCTTAGGCTGCTAATAAAGACATATGTGAGACTAGGAGTTTATAAAGGGAAGAGGTTTAATTGGCTCACAGTTCCACATGACTGGGGAGGCCTCATATTTGTGGGGGAGGGCAAATGAGGGGCCAAGTCACATCTTACATGGCAGCAGGCAAGACAGTGAATACAGGGGAATTCCCCTTTATAAAACTATCAGGTCTCATAATACTTATTCACTATCAGGAGAACAGAATGGGAAAGACCTGCCCCCATGATTTAATTGCCTCCGCCTGGACCTGCTCTTGACATGTGGAAATTATTATAATTCAAGGTGAGATCTGAGTGGGAACACAGCCAAACCATATCAACGGCTAAGCACATATTCAAGAGGGGAAGAAAATGTACTTCACCTATTGATGAAGATGGAATGTAGTCTATTGCAAACAGTCATGCATGCAAGAATAAAAAAAAAGTTGTGGTCATTTTTTAGATTTTATTATTTTTCTCCATTATTAGCATCTCTCCTTATAACAAGATTTTGCAACACTGCACTTGTCATATGATTTGTGGAACCTCCCTGTAAGAGGAATGTACTTTCCCATACCACTGATAAAATTGGTTACATGACTTTCTTTGATCAGTGTACTGTAAGCAGATATGATGTTTGCTGCACTTCAGTAGAAGCTTTAATGGCCATTACCCGATTCTACCTTTGACCATTTTTCTCCTCTACCACAAGAATAGCATATTTCAAATTAGGGCTTTTTTAGCCTGGATCCTAGAATGAAGAAAACATACAAAGCAGAGTCATAGCTGATCTCTAGTATGAATGAAAAGTAATCCTTTGTTTGATAAGCCCTTTGTGTTTTGATGGTCATTCTTTACCACGTTGGAACCTAGAGAAAAATTAGGGTGATTGATTAGCTTCTGTTTTAGTATATTTCACCGATTCCTTTTAGATGGATCTTTCCTTTTGATTTATATTTTAATTTTTTTTAACCTTCAAGTTCAGGGGTATGAGTACAGATTTGTTGCATAGGTAAACTTGTGTCATGGAGCTTTGTTGTACAGACTATTTCCTCCCCCAGATATTAAGCCTAGTACCCATTAGTTATTTTTCCTGATCCTCTCCCTCCTCCCACTCTCCACCCTCTGAAATGCCCCAACATGTTTTTCTCCTCCATGTGTCCATGTGTTCTCATCAAATTGTTTAAAATGCTCATAGATATCTTAAAATGCCCTTGTTCCTATTTTCTTTTCCAGGTTTGCCCATGCCTCCTACTCAGTCACAAGTAAATTTATCAAAAGAGCTATACATGACTTGTGTTTCTTCATATTCTGTTCACTCCTAAGACCCTTACAGTCTACATTCTCCCCTGATAACTCCATCAATACAATCAATACCACTCTTGCCAAAGACATCAATGATCCCCACATGGCTGGTTCTGCTAACTCAACAGCATCTGTCTGAGAAAGTTGACATTTTAAACTTTCTTTGAGCAATGAAACATTAGTAGATATGATTTAAGCGGATTTAAGAAACCAATGACCTGACCTTGTTTTATTTTCTCCTTTGTTGGGCTATTGTAGGTTTTCTGTGACTTCCATGGCCACTCCCAAAAGAAGAATGTGTTCCTTTATGGCTGTAGCATCAAGGAAACCTTGTGGCAAGCAGCATGCACTGTAGGCACATCTACTATCCTAGAGGATGTCAACTACAGGGTAAGCCGCTGTAGGGAATGACACCAGATATGCTGTGTCCATATTCTTTATTCTTACCTTTAAGACCATGCCCCACTCATTTGTTAAGTTTTTTTTTTTTTTTTTTTTTGGTAAATAAGCATTTTGATTATTTTAACCATAGGGTTGTAATACAAGCAGGCTGGAGGCATGTGTAACCTCTCCTAATTTTTGTTGAATTATGACTTACTTCCTCGTTGCTTTGCCTCTGTTTTCTATATGGTTTGATATTGTATAAAAGGCATGAGAACTACAGACAAAAGAACTCATCTTAATGCCTGACTTGGCAATTATTCAATTATTAACTGTGTGATTATAAGGTCATTAACATTACCTCACTGAACCACCCTTCTCCCATCTGTAAAATGAGGATAGTAAAAATACTGCCTCTCTTACATAGCTTATGGAAGGAACAGAATGATACTGAATACAAAAGGACTTCAAATAAATAGGAAGGGATGAACAAACATAAGCCATTAAACCATCCATATTTCTCTGCCTGAGCATTCTATAAAAAACAGAGCAGTAATCCGCTGACCCTAATTCTATTTTACCTTAGTTTTAGTGATTAGAGCTCAACTGTTCCTCCATGAAACCACATAGGAAATTAGGGAGGGGTAAAGAAAAGAGTACATCTTTCCATCAGGATATAGGCAACAAGCTATTGCATAGTGAGAATCAAGAAGAAACAGAGAAGCAAAATTGCCCAAACACTAAATGAAAACTGGTCTTTGTTTACAATTTATGTAGAAAAAGTAGAAAATTATGATGGTATCTGCCTCTTCTAAGTCTGTTATTCTGGGTATGCAATTTACTATCTGCAAAATAGCTTCATTCCCAGGGTTAATGATAGTATTAAGAGGTAAAAATCTACCAAATCACCATTTCACCTGGAAATACCTCCCCTCTTCTCTAGCCTTCTTCACCCAGTCCATCAAAAATAGACTGCCGCTGATCAATACAACCACCCCAAGGCTTTTATAGCAGAATCAACAGTTATCCTCAATAATCTGTTTGCTGTAAGGCTCAACCAGAGTAATGATGATAAACCATAACAAGCTTAATAACTTAATCTTATTTAGGAAACTAGTTTAGTAAATTAAAGCATTCATCTGGGCAGTTCCTGTGGACCCAACCCATATAAAATAATCTCTTATGTGTGATACATCTTGAATCAAAAAAATCTACCATGGTCCAATCTTAAATGTAGAGTCAGTGTGTTTTTTACTTCTCTTTTTCCAAGAGAAGGTAATAATATTAATAGATAATTCCCTATATACACAGGGAAAGGTATAAGACACAGAACCTTAAAAAAGTCTCCTGTATGAAGCTGACATGAAATGGGGCGGAAGTCAGACATTGTAGGGAATGATAGCATGGGTTCTTATTAACTGTATTTTAATTTTTGTGTATGATTCATGTTATTTAATTAATAAATTCAAAAAATATTTTGAGGCCCAGATTAGCGTAAGCTAAGGTAAAAGGCGTAACATTACAGAGATAGGTATGCCAGTTTCTGCCTCTGAGAATAAGCACAGTGGTATTTAATAGCAATGCTGTTGAAGAGATTAATCCATCTATACATTAATACTCACCTATAAGGTCCTTTAACTGTGAATGGGTCAGTTGCGTGAGCCTCACTTTTCTCCCTTGTGAAATGAGGAAGTTATATTTTCTACATAGTTTATTACATCGAGTTTGTTGGTGCCTTGGGCTTCCTTAAAGGCGATTCATGGGCTACTATGACATATGTGGAAGTAGTGAAGTGAATATGGTTTGGTCACATCCCTTGCTTTCAACCCAAATAGCTTTGCTCTTTGAGGTCCCATATATTATATAACTCCCTCTATCACTGACACTCTAAATCTAGGACATAATGATCTGTAAATAATTATCTTAACACTGGTGATCTGCCTAAAAAGACTTTTGTGTATACAAATGGATCTTCTCAGAATTGAAAGGACCCACTCATTTTACAGATGGAAAAATTGAGACTCAGGGAACAGTGTCCTTGTAAGACAGGTTAATGTTATCATCATGATATCTGCCAGTGGTCAGCAGCCTGCTGATGCTGAGAGGCTGATTCCTTCATTACCATCGAAAGTGGAACAATTCTAAACATGTTAAACTTATCTAAGAGGTTTTTTTTGGTCATTCACCCTTAGTATTGAAGAGACAATTATGCGCCCTATTATATTTCAAATTCACTCTGCAACATTTATTTAGTTTTATTAATCAACTTTAATGGTACTACTTCTAGTTACGTTGGTATAAAGAGGTCAGTGAATCCTCTCTGCAAAACGCAAATATAAAACAGAAGAAAATTTTGAAAAGCAGCCCTTTTAAGACTCTGGCAATTGACCAAATACAGATGATAAATTGAGAAGCATTTATTCTTGAAAATTGCTGGAACTTCATGTAAGAACAGCAGGGGTCTGTAACCTTTTTGACTGGGGCTGCTCCTGACTCCACTCTATTTGGTCATCAAGCAATGCAGTTTTACCAACAAAAGGACAGCCACACACACACACACACACACACACACACACACACACAGAGCCAGAAATTTACAAGGGAGACCTTAGAAATGAGAGAGTCCTAGGAAAGCTAAGATAAGCTCTCTGTAAATACATGGTGTATTAAGCCATTCTTGCATTGCTGAGACTGGATAAGTTATAAAGAAAAGAGGTTTAATTAGCTCATGATTCTGCAGGCTGTTCGGGAAGCATAATGCTGGCATCTGCTTCTGGGGAGGCCTCAGGAAGCTTCCAATCGTGGTAGAAGGTGAAGGGGGAGCAGGCACTTCATATGGTGAAAACAGAGTCAGAAAAAGAGTCAGGGGGAGGTGCCACACACTTTTGAACTACTAGATCTCGTGAGAATTCACTCATTATTGTGACAACAGCACCAAGAAGATGATGCAAAACCACTCATGGGAAATCCACTTCTGTAATCCAGTCACCTCCTAGCAGGCCCCACCTCTGACACTGGGAGTTACATTTCAACATGAGATTTTGTTAGGGACAAATATCTAAACTGTATCACATGGATTATGGAAAAATATGTGTCTCTTCAGGGGAGACCCAAGAGAGCCCAGTGAGAAATAAAGCCCAAAGAGACATAAGAACTGCCACAATTTTGAATGTCTTCCCAAATCACCTACAAATCAATCAAGAGAGAGTGGAAGTCTTATGCACTCAAGATATTTGAGTACTACATTTGCCCAAATTATTGTATAACCACTATGCTAAGCAGCCACAGATGTCAAGCTAAATAATTTAAATAAGAATGTAGAAACTGTATAGAGACATCAGTGGCACACATTGCAGAGGAAAAAAGAAATAAATATTCTGCAGATTAATCCAGGAAAGTAGTTAAAAATTAAAAAACATTTAAAAAATAGAATCCAGAGATGCTAAAAAAAGGTATAATCTATGATGGCCAGTTTTCAAGCAAAAATTACAATTTTGTAAAGAATCAAGAACGTGAAATCCATCCTTACGAAACAAAGCAGTCAGTAGAAACAGAGTGGGCCAACATGGTGGATTTATAATTATTTCCAAGCAACTGTTAAAATATGTTCAAATAAGTAAAGATGTTCAAAAGTTAATGGCAAAATATGATGACCATTACTCAATATATAAGGAACTTTGATAGAGAATTAAAAACAGGAGGAAGCAGGGAAGGAAGGAAGGAAGGAAAGAAGGAAGTAGGGAGGGAGGGAGGGAAGGAAGGAGGGAAGGAAGGAAGGAAGGAAGGAAGGAAGGAAGGAAGGAAGGAAGGAGATAGTGTTGAAAAGTATCATAATCAACATAAAAAATTCACTAGATGGGATTGTCAGCAGATTTGAGATGGCAAGATAGTAAAGAATGAATCAGTAAATTTGATGATTAAGCCCAAATTATTCAATTCAAAGAACAGACAAACAAAATTAAAGAAAAGTAAAGAGCTGTAGAGACCTATAGGATAGCATAAAGCATATCAACCAACATGTAATGGGAGGCCCAAAAGGAGAGGAAAATAAATGTCTAAAAAAAATTTGAAGATATAATGAGAGGAGAAGATAGTATAGGAGGAACAAAACATATATGAGACATATAGAGACAAACAACAAAATGGCAAATGTAAATCCAAAAATATCAATGATGACATTAAATATGAATGAACAAACCCTTCATTCCAAAGGCAGAGGTTGTAAGACCAGATTTTAAAAATAGGTTCAAGTATATATTGTGTATAAATGACATGCTTTTGATTCAATAATGCAAACAGGTTGAAAGTTAAAAGATGCAAAAAGATACACCATGCAAATGGTAACCATAATAAAGATGATTATATTGACATAAGACAAAATATACATTAAAAGAAGAAATATTACTAGGGCTAAGGGTGCAATTCATAATACTGAAAGAAATAGTTAATCAGCAAGGTATAACAATTATAAATGTATGTGAATATATATACTCTGAAATACAAGAAGAAAAAATTGAAAGAAGGCATTTAAAATTTAATAATAATAGTTGAATATTTTAGTAATCTTCTCTCAGTAAGTGATAGAATAATCAAACAGAAAATTAGTGTAGAGAATACCTGATCTAACTTACATATAACAGTTCTTTTCAAAACAAAAGAATATATATTCTTTTTGAGTGCCCATCAAAATTTCTCCAGCATAGACCCTATAATAGGCTATAAAATAAATCTCAATATATTTTAAGGGATGGAAAACATGCACAGAATATTGACCTACACAACAGAATTAAATTATAAATTAACTTTCATAAGAAATCTGGGATATCTGTGAATATTTGGAAATTAAACAATGTGTATCAAATTAACTTATGGATTGAAGGGGAAATCCAATGGGTAATTAGAAAATATCTTTAAGTGAATAAAAATAAAAACTCAATATATCAAAATTTATAGTATGCAGCAAAAATAGTACATAGAGGGAACTTTGTAATTTAGAATATTTAGAAATGCAGAAAGATCTAAAATCAATAATCTAAGCATCCACATTCAGAAACAAGAAAAAGAAGTGCAAATAAATCCCAAAGTATAGGAAAGAACAAAATAAAAGCCAAAGTAAAATCAATGAAATAAAAATCATATGAACAATAGAGCATCCATAAATAACATGCTTTTTATTCAATAATTTATAGTTTGATTTCTTAAAATGATCAACAAAATGATCATCATTTAGCTAGACAGACAAAGAAAAGAAAGAAGATACAAGTTACCAAAATTGGGATTGAAGGAAGGGACATCACTACAAATCTTACAAAGTAAAAAAGAGTATCATTAACAACTAAATGCCAACAAGTGAATACATTCTTAGGAGAACACAGACTATAAAAACTGATTCAAGGAGACATGGACAATCTGATGAGGTTTATTTTAAGTGGAAAAAAGTAGAATTAGTAATGAAAACTCTTCCCACAAATGGAAGTTTGGGCCCAAATGGCTTTGTTGATACATTCCATCAACCTCTTAAGAACAAAATAGTGCTAATCATAAAAACATCCTTTCATAAAATAGAGGAGACACACTTGCCAACTCATTTGTGAGGCCTGTGTTACTCTGATACCAAAGCCAAAATGGGGACATCACAAGAAAAGACAGCTCCAGCCCAATACTTGTTATAAACAGACAATAAATTATTATTCAGTGCTGAAAAGGAATGAGCTATCAAGCCATGAAGAGACATGGAAAAACCTTAAATGGATATTACTAAGTTAAAGAAAACAACCTGAAAAGGCTACATACTGTATTTCCAGCTGTATGACATTCTGGAGAAAGCAAAACTATGGAGACTAAAAAGATCGGGGTTGCCAGGAATTTGGAAGGAAGGAGGGATAAATAGGTGGAGCAGAGGGGATTCTTAGGGCAGTAAAACTACTTTAGATAATACTGTACTATTGAGTACACATCATTATACATTTTTTCAAACCCGTAAGATGTACAGAACCAAAAGTGAAGAGAATCCTCATGTAAACTATAGACTTTGAGTGATGATGTTTCAGTGTAGGTTCAGCAGTTACAATAAACCTACTACTCTGGTGAGGGATGTCAATGATTGGGAGTCCATGCATGGACAGGAGTCGGGGGCATATGGAAAATCTCTGCATCTTCCTTCTCAGTTTCGCTGTGGACCTAAAGCTGCTTTAAATAAAGCCTTTATAAAAGAAAGAGAGAGAGAGAGAGAGAAACACAACCTATGGAAGAAAAAAATAGTTTCACTTAAGTAAAAAAGGTGAAGTCACTTAAACAATGTAAGAGTAAACTTTTGCAACATAGTACGCTAATGATAAATTAAAACTATTTGCAAGTATTATTGATCACTTTACTTGTAGGATATAGAAACAATATATTTACGTCTATTTGACCAGACCCCCAGGGCTCTGGACTAGCAGATTCTATTTATTTTAGCAAATAATTATGTAGTACCCTCTATGAGCAACATACTGCTCGATGTGTAGGGATTTTCCTCTGAGTAAGACACAGACCTGCCCTCATGGAACTTCTAGGCTTCTGGGGAGATAGAAAATAAACAACTAATATATACACAATAATTCAGTTGTAATTGTAATGAGCATTTTGAAGGAACAAATAGATTGAGTGATTATAGAAAGGGAGGGACAATGGTAGATAGGATGAAATCAATTAGGAGACAATTGTAGACACTCAAGTGAAGACAACATTAGCATTCTATCTCCCTTTTTTTAGATGATCTGTAAGTCTGGAGGCTATGTAGGAATTTAGAGATCATAGTAAATTACATTAATAATTATGCTAATATATTTATATAACATAATTTATAAGATAATTAATAATTATAGTTAACAGTTACATTTAACATGAGGACAGTAAGTACCAGAGATAGTAAGAGATTTGCTCAATGTTCTAGAAATTAACAAAACTACATCTCTTTAAAAAGAATTCTTTCATTTATATTCTCATTAACTTGTTATGCTTCTCTACTTTCTCGCTGTAATTTGTCTAAAAGCCTAAGGTTTCACTATTGTTTAATGTATGTAATTTAATATTATGTGTTAGTTTATGCATATTCCACCAACACTAAAATGAGAGAATCCTTTTTGTTAATGTCATAAAAGTTCTGGGACTAAGTGCAGTATTTCTGCTGACTCAGGACTGTGTATACTATCAACTCTGAGTCATTGTCCTCTGGGGAGGAGGTCCAGTGGCTGGAAGATCCCTTTCTGTCAATCGAGGTGTCAAGTGTCTAGAGATGCCTTCTAAATGGAGGTTAAGTAGTCATAAATAAAATATTTTTACCCCAAGAAAAGGTGGAATATATGAACCCAGAGAGGATGGATTTTCAAGAGTTTTGTAATTGATCAAGCCTCAGATTTTTGGCTTAGAAGATGAGACGAAAAGTTCATTTTGGCAATTATACACTCTTAGGAAAGAAGCGAACTATGTGTGCTTCTTCTCTAGAATCATCACTGGCCCCTTTGGCCTTGTGAAATAAGTGAACAGTCCCAAGTATGACCCTGCTAAGTAACAGTGAGGCTGGATGTAGTCTGTAAATTTCAAGTCCCTGTGAAATCTGAGGCTTTCCATAGTCTCAACTCTTTCATGTATGAGGCCAAGTGTATGTGTGCAAGCCTTGGTCCATAGCAATGCAGAAAAGTGGAACTGAAAGATTATGGAGTTGGCCAGTTGGTATTTGGATTCCTTTCCAGCAACTTTATAGTTTTCTGGACTTCAGCTATTTATTTCTAACTTTTTTTTTTTTTTTTTTTTTTTTTTTTTTGTGATGCAGTCTCACTCTGTCTCCCAGGCTGGAGTGCAGTGGAGCGATCTCGGCACACTGCAACCTCCGTCATCTGGGTTCAAGCGATTCTCCTACCTCAGCCTCCTGAGTTGCTGGGATTACAGGTGCCTGCCACCACACCCAGCTAATTTTTGTATTTTTAATAGAGACAGGGTTTCACCATGTTGGCCAGGTTGATTTTGAACTCCTGCCCTCAGGTGATCCACCTGCCTCAGCCTCCCAAAGTGCTGAGATTACAGGCATAAGTCACCGCTCCTGGCCTATTTCTAACTTTTCTTAGCCTGTTTCCTTATCTGCAAAATGATTTTTTAAAAGTGATAGTCATTTCTTAGGGTTAATAAATGATTTAAAGTAACAAGTGTTTTATAGATAGACGCTTAACAATGTTGAGAAGCTATTTTTATGATGACTATCCCTAGTCACCCACAACTAATCATAGTTTGATTTTTTTTTAAATTGTAGACTCTTCCCAAAATCCTTGATAAACTAGCACCAGCATTCACAATGAGCAGCTGCAGCTTCCTTGTGGAGAAATCTCGAGCCTCCACGGCCCGGGTGGTGGTGTGGAGAGAGATGGGGGTGTCCAGAAGCTACACCATGGAAAGCAGCTACTGTGGTTGCAACCAGGGCCCCTATCAGGTATGTGAGACTGCAGGACACCCATGCTTTCTGTCCAGCAGCAATACACAGAAATTACAGACAGCTTGTTCCTACTTTCTCACCTATAAGGGAGAGAAGGCTCCAAATAGAGTCTAGTCCTGCTCCCTTGCCTTGAAAAACTGGTTCAACAATTGCTTTCACCTGCAGGATCATCTATGTTGATCCTAGAAGCAATGAGTGCATGCTTTCCAATTTAGTTCTTCAATCAGCTGCCCTCACCAGAAAGCAGCAAGGAGCCTTTGACGTGCATCCCCAACTTTTACAGAACCTCTGTCTGCCTGACTCTGTTATATGCACAAAATTCTTGCCTTCTGCAGCAAGTGGACTAGTTCTATATACATCATAAAGAGCATAGGTCAGTCTGTAGATATTGTTGGTACATATATCTATTGTGTTTCCATCTTCTGTGCTGATCTAAATCTGTAGCTCTCTTTGTTATCCTGCTGTCTCCAGAGCACACAAAAGTGTGTGCACGGCGTGGGTCTCCCAGAATGAGTGGGTTTCAGACTCATATGCTAGCGTTGAGAGAAAGTGCTCTTGTATAAATCACATTCTTTCTACAGCTATATTAACTGCATGAGCAGCTGGATAGCTGCTACAGCAGGCTGTTCTGGCTGCTTTTCCCACTCCCCCATAGAGAAGCATAAATAAAGGATATTTTGACAGTGCCAGGGTAATAGACTCTTGTAAATTTCTTAGGCAAGCTGACAGACTGCTCCTCAGTGACTTCCATTCAACCCCAAGAATACCTGGACCTCACCAGCATTGAGCTCATTGTGTTAGCTTTGATAGTCTCCTGGAACAGCTAGGAAGCACTTGGCACCTAGGCAATCCCGAGCTTGTAGAAATCTGTTAGTTACCGAGGAGAGTACAGGGTGTGACAGGCGATGCACATTATCTAACTTCTCACATGGTCGAAGATTTTTTTTAACTCAGGGCTATCAAACCACCCATGTTGACTATTAATTCTGTCAAATAGCCACTTAGTCTAAAGACTTGCTTCAAATAATTGTTTTGTTACTGAATTAGTAAATTCTTAGACTGAATTAATCCTATTCACCCACATTAATGTAAATGAAGAATAAGAAGAGCTGAAATCATTGGATGAGCATGAGATTGGTCATCAAGAGATCTCACTCTTTCACTTACCAGCAGTGTTGAAAGCTACTTACTTCTAGGAACCTATTTTTTTTTCATATATCAAATGCAGATTTTAATAAGGACTCCTTTTATCCTACCATACAAGATTTTGTAAGGACTAAAAGAAAACATATATGTGAATGTACTTGGAGGTTATATAATCAGGAATCTGTTCACTCCCTTGTTCTTCAAAGCATATAAGATTGGAAAAAAAAAAAAAAAGCTTGAAATATTGTGACTTTCAGGCCTTATGGACATAGGTTTTGTCTCTCTCTGTGTATGTGTCTTGATGGGAAGGGGCCTGTCATTTATTTTAAGGACAACTCCATGTAACTCTTCAGAGATTTATTGGCTTCATGACTTTCATTGAGTTTGTTTCTCCAAGCACCGATTCAAACTAACAGCTTCTAGTCACATAAGTATCAACGATGGCATTGGAAACTCAGAGCTGGAAACTCAGAGTCCTCTGGAGCTGTTTGAAAACTAAATGACTCATCGGTCCAGGCCCTCACCAACTCTCTACCATGCAGTGTACATAGAGGCTGTTGGAGAGGACAAAGAATGTAAGGGCTCGCCCAATGGATGGCCTTCAGGTATTGGCACAGCATTTATCCCGTGAAATTTTCCAAATGGCTTTTGCATGGAAGGAAGAATGGAGGGAGAACTGGCTAGAGAAAGCCCTAATAGTGCCAGACCTGGTTTTGGTTTAACAATCCCATTCTCTATATGAAACACCTCTCCGAATGTATTAGTTTTCTCCTTCTCTTTGTTTTCCTGTCCTTACAAACATTGTTGAGTAACTGAGCAGAATCACAGGCAGTGAGCAAGGGCATGGTGAGTAATTTTACATATGGGAGGGCCCACCCCATGGGAAGGAAGCCAGTCCGGAGTTGGGTGTTTTGGTGATTTTTGTGTGAGGTACACAATGCAGTCTATGAGCTATAAAGCAGCATAGAAATTTCCATCCTGAACATATTGCAAATGCTTTTTGTACATTGGGAAGCTGAGTCCCAGTTGAGTCTTGAGGTTATTATTCTAAGGTCATCTTTCCATTTTTTGTTTAGTGTTACCATTTATCCAAAAGATGGAGGATACTTAAATACACCCGTGAGGGGCATTCTTTCCTTCCTTCATACGAATATAAATATTTTTGCAGTTTCTCTGGTTAATGCAGCTTTAAAGTAGCTCCAATCATTTCTCCCCCAGCACACTAAGTACCTGATTTGTTAGTATTGAGATGAAATATAATTTCTTACAGTGACATTTATATTGGAACTACATTAAAGAACATAAGCTATTACCTTAAAATAATGATTATTAATATGATATTTTCTCTTCTATTTTCCAGTCTATAGTTGGCTAATTAGAAAAAAAATTATCCTGCTTTTGTTTCTTTGGGATACAGTCTCTGTTGCTAGGTCATACACTTAGATCTATAACTTGTATTTAATGTGGAAATCCCACCCACTGAGAGATTTACTTTACCTATTAGGGACGGGCCCAAAGCTATTGAGGCTGTTGAAGAAAAAGCCAAAATGGAATGATGCATCCTTTGGGGGCTCATTTTTTTTAGAGGCATCCAGTCTATGTGGACAGCTGTGGGCTTTACACTGCGTGTTTGTGACCTGAGGTCACATATGTGGTGTGTTTGCATACACAAAGGCATGTGGCTGGGCCCCAGGGGTTGCTGGTAGCTTAGGAGGAGGATGTGAGTCCCTCTACCCAAGCAGGCTGTCGACTTACTCCTTGCAACATTGCTAACTTGGACAGCAAAGTGGATCTTAGAGAAGGACAGAAGACGGTAACTCAGCTGAGGTTTGAAGAGTGACTCAACCTGTATTTAAATTCTCTACCTGCAAGTTACATCCTTGTATTGTGGGACCTTCCTGCAGTGCATCCACTCTACCACCCACAAGGGCTCCTTTAATAACACAAATCTATTCAAGTCACAGTAATGCCCATAATCCTTCTAAGTATCTTTGTGTCTCGATAAAATTCAACTCCTCATCGTCATGAGTAAGGCCTTTTACAATCTCTTCTTTCATTTTTTTATACTCAATGCTTAGTATAGTATAAAGTAGGTATTAAAAATGATGGCTGACAAGTGAGTAAATAAGTGAACAAGTAAATGAATGGCAATTTCCAAGCCCTTAAATGATTATCCTCACTGTCCTTGGGTAAGTAGAAAAAGAGACAAAATTATTGTTGTCCACATGTGATCAGATGCCATTCTAAAATGGAGATTTTAAGAGACGTTGCAATGGGCGGAGATGGAAAATGTGTGGGTGAAAGAAGGAAAGACACAAGAATGCAGAGTTGAGACCTCTCAGACCTGCCACTAGATATGATTTGAGAGCACCCAATGGATTATTTCCCAGAGTAAGGCAATTCTAGTTCAGGTGTGGAATCCCTTATGGCCACATTCTAATAACAGATGATAATTAGGCAGAAAGAATTCCATCCATACACATAGTAGATGCTGTGGTCCACCCTTGAGATCCCTCCTTAGGACCCAGGCACTCATTTCCCCTGGTTGTTCACAGCTGTGTCTATAACCAGGAATTGCTTGTAACTCAAGGACCTCATCTTGCCCAAAAGGTATGGCTCCTCCCTACCTGCAGCCTACATCCAATAGCTGATCTGTGGGGATACAAAAACCTTATCTCTTTGCCTCAGTTGGGGTGACTCCAAAGGGCCATTCCAGCTCTAGATCTCCCTATAGGATTAGCTGGCACCTCTGTTGCAATTCCCTTGTAGTTCAACCTCCCCTTCTGCCCAACCTTGTTTCCCTAGTAACTCACAGGTATTGTTACAGTAAGCACTCCCCAAAAGTCCTTCTATATGCAAATCTCAGCATCTCCGAGGCTGTTTCCTGCTGTAAACAACTTAAAACAGTATTTCAAAAAGGCTTAGATTAGAAAACACGCATGCTGGAAATAGGCACTTAAGTTATTGGAGATGGTTTAGTGCGGATTAATTTCATATAGGAAATTCAATCATTGGAACTCCATGTTCAAGGCTCCCAGTGGCCCTTCATTCACTCCACTTGCCTTAGCTGTTTAGGGAACAAAGCGCTCTACTACAAAACTAGAGATTGCAGATCAGAGCAGCGTTTCTTGCAGTAGCCCAGACTGTAGGCTGGATATATTTATTTTCTGTAGCTGCCATAACAGATTACCACAACCTGGATGGCTTAAAACAACATAAATCTGTTCGCTCACAGATCTGGAAGATAAAAGCCTGAAATCAAGGTGTTGATAGTGCTATGTTCTCTGTAAAGGCAACTGTTTCATTCATTTCTTTGAGTTTCTTGTATTGCCAGAAATCCTTGGTGTTTTTTGGTTTGTCAATACATCACTACAATTTCTTCCTTTATCATCACATGGCCTTCTCTACTTGTGAGCCTCTATCTCTGTGTCTCCCCTCTTCTTCTTATAAGGACACCAGACATATTGGAATAAGAGCCCACCTTACTCCAGGATGACCTCATCTTAACTTAGTTAATTATATTTGTAGTGACCCTATTTCCAAATAAGCTCATATTCTGACATTCTGATAAGGAGATAAATTTGGGCGTTGGGCAAGATACCATTCAACCTAATAAACTGGGTCACACAAGAAAATATAAAATTCTTTCCAAGAATTAGGGAAGGTTTTTATTTCTGTCTCCATATTGCCATGCGGTGAAGCCCTAAATGTGTTATAACAGTTCTCATATTCTGTCTACCTCATGTTGAGGAAAATGAAAAGTTTCAGACTTTCTTGGAACATCTTAGAAGATAAATTTGAGACTCATGGCATGTATGAGTGCTGATTAAGGCTGCTCCAGTGTTATAATACACAATGTGAAGGTAGCAATAATGATAACAAACATGTCTATCATACTTATTGTGTGCTAAGCCCTTTACATCTCTTAAATTACTTCATGTCTGCTATTGTACAACAAAGCACTACAAAATCAGTTTTATTATTATTCTCATTATTACTATTTTACAAATGAGGCCACTGAGACAGAGAGGTTAAGTAACTTGCTCAAGGTCCCACAACTAGAAGCTTTCGAGCCAGAATTTGAAGCCAGACAGATAAGTTGCTGGGATCTTTGCTTTTACCTCATGCTTTCTGCCTAGTAGAATGTGGTTGGTAAAAGGGGCAGAAGACCCACCTTCCACACTTGGCTGTCATTAAGCAGCTCTGCAGCAACAGGTGAGCCACTTAACCTCTCTGGGTCACAGTTTTCTTATTTATAATAGGAAGACAGAATTGGAACTAAAAGATAGGTATGGTTTCTACTACATTATGTTGACCAAGTCTAACTTTGCTGGGTATCCAAGGGACTTATGGATCACCCAGACCAGGGTGACCCAGTGTAATGTTGAAGCCCTTAAAAATCTTCTGCAATTTTTCTTGAGTATGCATGTTTTTCTAGGAAGAAAGCACTCTGCTTTTAGCACGAATTAGCTAGTTGTCAAGTGACTTTGGCTGTTCTATCCACTATTTCCCTTCTCCTTTTCATTTTATCCTGGCTGGTCTTTATTTCACTTTTCCAGAGTATCCAAAGAGGGCTGAGAAGAATGTCACACACGAAGTGGCAGCTTTCCATCAGCAGGGGGAATAAGGAGCAGAGTAGACCTTCAGTGAAACAGCCAATTTGTTTATATCAGGGAACCTCCTAGCTTGCTTCCTTTTCTCATTTCACTTCCTCTTGACTTCTCTCCTTGTCTCATCAGACAACCATTGCTCTCACACAGTTCTTTGGACTTGCACAGCTCAGATGGGACACTTCTCCTCCATAAGAGTGTCCTGAGCTGCAGAATTGCCTCTGTATCAGGATACACACACACAAACACACACACACACACAGATTCTTTTTCTCCAACACACAGGTATATGTATATATCATACATATATACACAAACATGCATCCATATCAATGGTTTTTAATCATAGATATATACAAGAAAGCAGAGTTTTTTGTTTAGTACGGGCTCCTGCATCAGATGTAGAGTTCCAGGGAGAGCTCTACATTTCACAGTTGTGACCTTGAGACAGTTCCTGACTTTTATGAGCTTTAGTGGTAAACATGGTATTCCTCATAGTTCCTACTTCATGGAGATGCTGTAAAGACTGAATGAGCTACTGCCTATAAGACGTTTATCACCATTTTCATAGTAAAAACTCAATACATGTTTACTGTTTGTATTTTTATTGATTATTAGGATCATTAATGGTGGTTTTCTTTTTCTATTTTAGATAAAGACACTTAGGCTCCAACTCTTAACCATAATCATCTTATTCCAACCTTCCTAATTAGAAACTTTGGGGTCTGAGATTAAGACTCTGAGATTTTATGAAGTGTAATATGCAGCCAGGGTTGAGAACCACAGATTTTGGCTTTCATAGACACTAATATCCATATACCTATATTTATAGGCTTAGCTACATCCAAGTGATGTCTGTATGTATCATTTAGACATTTCCTTTATTATCCACTCATTTATTCTATCTATCAAAGTTCCTGTGCTACATAATCTATATTATAGTTAGTTTGTATGTGAAGTCCCAGAAAAGGGAAGGGAAAGAGGACAATTAGTGA